TTTTAGTAGAGACGGGGTTTCACCATGTTGACCAGGATGGTCTCGATCTCTTGACCTCGTGATCCACCCGCCTCGGCCTCCCAAAGTGCTGGGATTACAGGCTTGAGCCACCGTAATGGTTTTTCATTCTCTAACCATGCCAGATAGTTGAGGGTCTCTATATAAACACACCAAAAGAAGAGTCTGCAGGTGCTCCCTAAAGCAGCATGGGAGCCCACACTTGAAAGCAATACTTTGAAGCCGACTAGAAACATGCACATATATACAGAACCTTAATGCCCAGCACCCCACACTCTGCCTGCTGTGAGGAGGCACATACCTTGTGGCTCTGCATTCAGGAGCTGCAGGTTGACATACTGACAAAGAAGAGTGCCAGAACTGCTGATCAGAGAGGGAGCCGATCCTGCAGTCACACAAAGTGTTTTTCCACTAAGACTCAGTAAGTCGGTTTGGTTTTGTATTTCTAAAAAGTAACAACGACAACAATTCTTTCAGGGTTAATGACAGTTCAAAACTGAAGTCATTTAATTTTTCCTATTTAACTATTAAACTAACATGTATCCTTTTACAACGATGCTTTCCACTTAATTTCTGTTTATCAAAAGATATTGCCTTTTCTATAAAACCAGCCTTTAATGACATGTAATGGTAAGAAATCTTAATGTTGCAGAATAAACATCATTAACATTCATAATCTGAAATACAGGGCAAATTGTTTTTTCTATATTAGTATTTTCCCTTTATAATACAGCTCCTCTTACAATTTCCTCCTATATCAGAATCTCAAGCTTCACCATGAAAAGCTTATATTAAAAAGTGATAATTATAGTCAGATGACATTTGACTCAGGAACAGACGTGGAAACAAGCAAGATGCACAGAACACATGCAGTATAATCTCATTTAGAGAACACTACACGTTGCTCGGGGATGCAGGCACAGGCAGATGACTGGTAATGGCTGTGATACAGGACAGACTCCAACTACTGAGCGAAAACGGCAGGTATGAAACTAGGCTGGGGCATTTGCTCAAGGAACGAGGAACTTGCTGCACCAGTGGCTAGATGCTCACGCTCAGCCTAGGCCCACATGGTCTCTTCTCTCAACCACAGGTGTGGCCTTGTAGGAAGTCTTCCAAGACTGGCTGACAGAAAGAAAACATTTTAGGGCTTGCTGTGTAGGGCTTTACCGCACAACACGCTGTGCCATCTGAAGTAGAAAATTACAGTCTTACAGCCCTGTTCTGACTGTGGGTAGCCCTGAAGGATAGCGATGGGTGGAAATCCTCCCAATGGGAACAACTTCATTCAGTGCAGCTGGCTGGTCATTTTGCTCAGAAGGAGAAATAGCTAGGAGTAGATCTACACTGATTTGTGGTTACTGGCCAAAAGCTGGGCTAAATGAGAACAGCCAGGGGCTCAAAGAACAGAATTAGAAAACCGGTGACATGGAAGTTAGGGCAAGAGGTATGTGGACAGATCTCTACAAATGGGCAGACTATGAATGAGCATCTAAAAATGAGTGGGGCTGGGCACAGTGGCTCACACCTTTAATGCTAGCACTCTGGGAGGCAGAAAGGGGAGGACTGCTTGAGGCCAGGAGATTGAGAGCAGCCTGGGCAACACAGCAAGACCTCCTCTCATAAAAAAGAAAAGAATTAGCCAGGCATGGTGGTGTGTATCTGTAGTCCTGGCTACTTTGGAGGCTGAGGTGGGAGGACTGCTTGAGCCCAGAAGTTTGAAGTTACACTGGGCGATGATCGAGCCACTGTACTCCAGCTTGAGCGACAGAGTGAGACCCTGTCTTGAAAAAAGAAAAAGAAAAAAAAATCAGTGGATATGACCTATTCAGTCACTAGCCACGTCTGCCCTTATCCAGTGACTGATGAACAAAGGGCCACCAGGTTGGGAGGATGAATGACCATGGGCTCAGCAACATTACTTCCACTCCCCAAGGCTGATTGTGCTGCAGCTGGTACTGCGTATTCCACTTACCAACAGCAGGAACCATTACTGAGCTTTCAATACAGTGTTACTGCCAGGAAAGAGGAGCCAGACCTCTGATGGCAGCCTGTTTGTACTGGACCGTTTGCATCATGGGAAAAGGCAGTGCTTTGGTCTTACTGGAATACATACTCCCTTTGGACAAGAATTTGCCACTGTCACCCATAACCCAAACCCACCATCCATGAACATAGAGAATGTCTCATTTGCTCAATTTGTTCCTTGAGCAAATGCCCCAGCCTAGCATTGCTTCTAACCAGGGAACTCATTTTTTAGCAAACAAGTGTGGCATTATGTATTAATATATATTAGTCAATTCTGATTTTTCCACTCTCTTACTTCCTTACCATATAGCAAAATACTTTAACAGGTTAACCTTATATCTCAGTAAAGTTAAAGAACAGAAAAGGGAGGAGGTATGACTCAGCTAGAAGAAAAATCAACAATACCCAAAGAAGGATAAGGTAACTTTCCATCTTGTTTTGGGTAATGAAGCTGGCATCTTTGAAGTTGTACAAGAAAGAGTTAAAAGCATGATTTTTAATGTATTAGGGTCTTTATTTGGAAGTTAAATATGGTTTAAAGAGCTATGTATAGATGTCAAGATCACAATGGGGTGAACTATGGTGGTTTCATCCTGTGTCAGTGCAGCTAAGCTATAACTGCTTCTCAGGTTCTCTCTCTGGCCTGGTTCTGGGTAACAGCTTAATCACAGAGAAATCTGCATAGGATTTAGAAGGCCGAAGTTTATTAATAGTCATTATGCTCACAGGCTAATAGTGGGCCTGGCACCGCTTTCTTAGGTTGCTGTGGATCTGCCGACTTGCTGGATTAAGTGGGACAGTGCCCGGCCCACGTTCCTGCCTCTACTCTTCTAGCTTCCAGGCCAGGAATGTGTGTAACTCTCTGGCAAAGTGTACCAGCAGTTTCTTCTGTAAGACACCTGCCTGTCAGTGTCAGATGTGGTTAGACAGATGTGCACTCCAGCCTGTTTATGCTTTTCTCTACTTCTTATCCTACAGCGACTTTAGGCAGAGATCTAGCTTTCTGCTGACTTACCCACCACCTTGGTGGAACCTGGTTAGAGATTTTTCTCAGACATCCACTTGCTATCTTTTTGTAGGGCTTTACTCAGTTTTTCTCACATTGCTTTTGCGTCTCCTGGCCCAACTTTAATGGATACAATAGCAAACAGTTTTCCAGTGGCTCCAACAATTCATAAGCCAGCAGTCAATGAGAGTTCCTATTATGTAATATCCCTGACAACATGTGATTCTGCCAGATTCTTCTAGTTTTTGCCAATCTGGTGGCAGTTAATAGTACCTCACTGTGGTACTATCTTGCAAGTTCCTGATTACTATTCAGATGCACCAGTTGTTCCTTAGTTGGCCATTTGCATTTCTTCTTTTAATTTATTTAAAAATTTCTGGGCCCAGTGTGATGGCTCACGCCTACAATCCCAGCACAATGGAAGGCCAAGGTGGGCGGATCACCTTAGGTCAGGAGTTCAAAGCCAGCCTGACCAATATGGAGAAACCTCGACTCTACTAAAAATACAAAATTAGCCAGGCATGGTGGCACATGCCGGAATCCCAGCTACTTGGGAGGCTGAGGCAGGAGAATCATTTGAACCTGGGAGGCGGAGGTTGCAGTGAGCCGAGATTGCATCACTGCACTCCGGCCTGGGCAACAGAGAGAGACTGTGTCTCAAATAAATTTTTAAAAAGTTTCTGAAAATAAGCATTCAGATTTGTAAAGTATTAGTTTTCTGAGGCTGTCATAATAAAGTCCCACCAACAGGGGGTGTGTGAGGTGGAAGGAGCCAGGGAATAAAAATAAAAGAAATTTACTATCTCAAAGTTCTTGAGGTCAGAAGTCCGAAAACAAAGTGTGGTCAGATGTGCTCCGTCAGAAACCTGTAGGCAAATCTTTTTTTTTTGCCTCTTTCGAGCTTCTGGAGGCTCCTGACAATCTTTACTGTTTCTTGGCTTGTAGCTGTAACTCCAATCTCTGCCTTTGTCACCACAGGGCATTTTCTCTGTGTGTCTCTATGTCTTCACATGGCCATCTTCTTATAAGGACAACAGTCATCCTGGATTAGGGCCCACGCTACTCCAATATGACCTCACCCTAACGAATTACATCTGCAATAATCCTATTTTCAAAGGCCACATTCAGAGGTACAAGAGGTTACAACATATCTTTTTTATCAGAGGTCAGAATTCAATATGTAACAGTGGGAGAATGCATCTATAATTCTTTTTTTTTTTTTTTGGTGTTCTTTCTCCTTTGTTTCCTTTCTTTTTTTCTTTATTGCATTTTAGGTTTGGGGTACATGTGAAAAACATGTAAGATTGTTGCATAGGTAGACACATGGCAGTGTGATTTGCTGCCTTCCTCCCCATCACCTATATCTGGCATTTTTCCCCATGCTATCTCTCCCTAACTCCCCACCCCCTGCTGTCCCTCCCCTATACATCTATAATTTTTAAAAATATTTTTCAGGTTTGCTTTATTGAGAATCCAAAGATTCTGGATTTTAGTGAGATCCAGGCATTATGTTTAATAAAGTTAAAACTCATAGTTGGGCATGGTGGCTCACACCTGGAATCTCAGCACTTTGGGAGGCCAAAGCAGGGGGACTGCTTAAGGCCCTGGGTTCAAGACCAGACTTGGCAATATAGTGTGACTTGGTCTCTCTAAAAGAATTAGCCACGCATGGTGGTGGATGCTGGTAGTCTCAGTTACAAGGCAGGAGGATTACTTGAGCCCAGGAGGTTGAGGCTGCAGTGAGCTATGATTGCATCGCTGTTCTGCAGCATGGGTGACAGAGTGACACCCTGTCTCAAAAACAAAAACAACCTCACAGGGAGGACTCTGAAGCCTGAAGCCCACCAGCTGGTAAACAGGTGAGAGGGGAGGATTAGAGCCATTAAGTGCGGGCTTTTCAGTCACATCACACTGTGAGGAGGCATGAACAGACACTGCAGGCAGGCACTGCTGAAGAGCTGGGCCCTGACTCAAGATTAGCAAAAATGCAAAAGGTATGTAGTACAACTGACAGCGAATTAAGACCTTCACCTCAAGTCAAAACACAGGCTCTTCTCACTTTCCACATACCTGTTTCATTATGGAAGACAGCCAGGTCTGCATTGTTCACACCAAAAACGCTACTGACAACACTCTTCAGTTTTAAAAGGTCCAACCTATTATCACCTTTTGGATTTTCCAGAAACAATATTCCACCTAAAAAGTCACAAAAATAAGACATCAGACAAGTAAAACTAAAATGTTAAATTTGGAGCAAAAGGGATACAAAGGGGTTCAAGCCCTAATTTTTTTTCCTTTTTCCCCAAATATATATCTATCTATCATCTATCTATCTAATCTATCTATATCTATCCATCTATCTAGATATAGATATCTATATCTATCTATATCTAAATAGACATATAAATAGATATCTATATGTATATATATCTATCTCCATCTTTAGTATGTGTTTTGGCATCCTTGTTAGATATGGTCCAGGCATAGAACTTGACCAGGCAATCTGTTCTTGTCTTTTTCTAGTTTCAAATCTTTGCATTTATGATTCTCATTTTTCATTTTGTGCCAATTGTAAATCCTCATGGCTCAGGTTGGTTAAAAATACTATCTGGCCCCTGAAGTCGATTTGTTCTGCACTTTAGATTTATGTACAGATATTTACTTTATTAATATGTTTGGACGTTTTGAGTTAATTGTAGAGCCAAATGCATGTAGAGAGATACCATGGGGCCCTTTGCCCAGTTTCCCCCAATGGTGACATTTTACAAAACTACAGTATATATCACAAACAGCATACTGACATTGATGCAATCCACCAATCCTATTCAGATTGCCTCAGTTTTACTTTTACTCATTGGGGCATGTGTACATGTGGGTATGTTTAGTTCTATGCAACTTTATCACTCGTATAAAATCCTGTACCCATCACCATCATTAAGATACAGAGCAGTTCCACAACCGCAAGAATCTTCATGTTGCCTTTTAATATCCACACGCAATTCCCTTCCAGGCCCATTCCCTCCTTAAACCCTGACAAATAAGTCTCCATTTCTATAATTTTATCATTTTAAACATGTTATATAAATGCAATCATAAAGTATGGAATGTTTTTGGACTTTTTTCAGTTGGCATCAATTTCTTTTCTTTTTGAGATGGAGTTTAGCTCTGTCACCCAGGCTGGAGTGTGGTAGCTCGATCTCGACTCACTGCAACTTCTGCCTTCCAGATTCCAGCGATTCTTGTGTCTCAGCCTCCCAAGTAGCTGGGATTACAGGCACCCACCAACACACCTGGCTAATTTTTGCGTTTTTTCAGTAGAGATGGGGTTTCATCATTGTTGGCCAGGCTGATCTCAAACTCCCGACCTTAGCTGGCACCAATTTCTACAGATTAAAGTAAGTTGCTGTGCTAAATGATAGTTGTTCCTTTTTATTATTACTGTGTTATGTGCAATGATACGGCTGTACAGTTTGTTTAACCATTTATCTGCTGAAGAACATCTGGGTTGTCTACATTTTGGGGCTAATATGAATACAAGTAGTATATACATTCATGTGGCGGTGAACGTTAAGTTTTCAGTTCTCTGGGATAAACACATAGGAGCGCAACTGTTGAGTCATTCAGAAAACACATATTTAGTTTCCTGAGAATGCCAAACTATCTTCCACAGTGGCCACACTGTTCTATATTCCCACCAGCAATGTATGAGAGGCAGCATTTGGTGCTGTTGCTACTTTTAATTTTAGTCATTCTAAGGTATCTAGTAAGACTGAAATGTGATTTCAACTTGCATTTTCCTAATGGCTAATGACATTAAATATTGTCATGTACATATCTCTATTTTCTAACTTGATATTTCTTCACTGTTGAGATTTAAGAGATCTTTATATATTCTAGATATGTCCTTTGTCAAATATATTATTTATAAAGATTTTCTCCCAGTCTGTAGCTTTTCATCCTTAGTTTCATTTAGTTCCACATATCACTTCCCTTTTATGGTCAGTGCTTTTTTGTCAAAGGTTTAAAACTCTTTGTTTAATGTTGAAATGAAAAATCTTAAGACTTTTCCAAAAATACTAGTGTGTTTTATATTATAGTACCTGGTACATGGCTACAGTTTTTGAACGAAAGCTATGAAGTCTGCTTGTCTGTGTGTTTGTATATGCCTGTACATGTAGGCATGTCACATATACGTGTTATTTTTCTACTTCCAGATGGCACTGTCAAAAATTAATTCATGAAACATTTCTATTTAATTGGTTTAAAGAAAAATAAGCACTTAACATAAATTAAGTATTCTCTCAGCAATATAGAAACTAACAGAAATGATTTTCAAGTTCATGTGACTTGGGTAAGAATATATAATGTAGATATACAACTTTACCAGGGTTTACTATCAAATAAGTTTATGTTACCTCCACTAGATGTTTATGAACAAATGTCCATGTGGATGGCAGTATCCATTACTTTATGTTTACTGAGCACAGCAATAAAACAAAAAATTTCATCTATTTATCTTTTTAGGGTTGTTTTTGTAAAGACTGCTGAACATACACATGCCGTAAAAGCAGCTAACAGAGAAATCACTTGATAGCTAGCTTTGTTTTGTGTTATGTCTACTCAAAAATAGCTCCCCATTGGTAATTGACATCCTTGGGGTTTTGCTAATTTAGATGACTATTCATTGGATATGTAGATATTATCCAAATAAGAGAAAATACTGAAGCATTAATAGGTGAACACAAATTATACTATTAGGAAGCATGTTTCTAGTAATTTGATTCATAGATTTGCCAATCTATGGAATGCTGATGTGACAGTTCAAACTAGAGAAAGAGAAATGACTCTACATGTGAGGAAAAGATATGATTTTGGTAAGGTGAACCTATTATGTATGAAGGATGTGTGTTCATTAAGAGAAAAAGACTAATTTTTGTCCTAAAGCAGAATGGCTTGTTTCACAAAAAGAGGAAGGAAGAATTTAATCCAAAACAGAATGGATATAAGAGAGCTGCAGTAGGTTTGCGGAAGAGAAATCTTGGAAAAGGAATTTAATGAATTTATAAGTTATCAAAATAATGAGTCTTAATATCAAAAGTCTGATATTTTTTACTAACTTCCCAAAAATCAAACTCTAAATTTAAGTCTTTCTGTCCTTGAGCTAACTTTGGGAGCTTCCAGAGGGCCCCTGAAATACCTCAAAGCAATTTTCTTTCATCATGAAGAGAAACAAGAAATAAGTTACACTTATTTGATTATGTTAGATCTGCATGGGAAACACTGTCAAATAAGAAATGATGCTTAACCTTCTTTGAGTTCTATTTGTACAGGTGTATTACTAATAATGTGTTCCAGGAACTGTGTGAAATTCCCAGAAATCTGACAGGTCTAATGTTATCAGTCACAATTCTAGTTACCTTAAAATGCTGTCCACCACAGAAATAACTCAACTTCCTTGTCAACTGCAACATTACTATAGTGAACTCTCATCAGATATTTAACCATGGCCATTTAAAATCTTGTCATCCACAGATAGTTGTTTTACTCTGATACTTTCCTGAAAGTTACTGTGAGCAACTACGGATCTGAAGTGTTTCATCTTTGAGAAGACGCAATGGAAAGGACTCTGACAAGCACAGGTTTATGTTAAGATCATACCACTGGACTGGGTAAGAATTCCCAGGACTCTAGTGAAGTAATTAACTAAATCATAATGCTGTCACAATGGCAATGACATTTCAACCTGAGTTTTGGAGGGGACACTCAAACCACAGCAGGATAGAAGAGACATTTTTACTATATTGAATCTTCCAATCCATAAACATGTCCTCCCACTTACTTAGATTTTGTCTGATTTTTTTCATCACTATTTTGTAGTTTTTGGTATACAAATCCTAACACATTTTATTAGGAGTGGCATGATCATGGCTCACTGCTGCCTCTATCTCCCAGGCTCAAGTGATCCTCCCACGTCAGCCTACCAAGCAGCTGAGACTAAAGGTAACCACCACCACACTTGGCTGGTTTTTTATTTCTTGTAGAGATGGGGTCTACATCTCTTTGTTGCCCAGGCTAGTCTTGAACTCCTGGGTTAAAGTAATCCTCCTGCGTAAGCCTTCTAAAGTGCTGGGATTATAAGCATGAACCACCACACCTGGCCTGGCATCTTTTTTTAAGTGACTGTAAATGAAACCATATTTTAAATTTCATTGTCCACTTGTTCACTGCTAGTATAGACTGCTAGTATGAAATAAAAATCATTTTTGTATGTTTATCTTATATCCTGTGACTCTACTTTTTTTTATAAGCAATATCATTTATATTAATTATGTTGGAAACCCAATTAATGCTTGGACCCAAAGGGTACAGAAAAGGCCAAACTTTTAAAAATAACAGATTTAAAGATGATTTGTAGCTTTCCCTCATAATATGAATGTTTTCAGCAGGACGGTAAATGGCAAAACGTATCAAGTCATATTAAGGCAGAGGACCAAGCTGTGGCTGCATTTAAAGTTATTCCTAGGAAAATAAACTTGGCGTTGGGAGCTCTTCTTCCCAGGTGTCTGGTCAACTGACCCAGGAATGGGCAGTCCTGGAGTCGGCAGATGGGAGAATAGGCCCTCCCTCTCTTATCATCATGCTGCTGGCCCTCTGTGACTAGAATACTGGCCTTGTTTACATTACTGACGCACACTCGGTGACTCTCTCACTGATTCCTTCTACAGGGCCACCTGAGACAGCCAGGATGTTGGCAGTGATGGACCAGCTCAATGCCATACAACATCATTGAAGTTGCAGAGCAGTTCAGGGAACCATTTACTGTCTGAGACATCATCACAGGTCTAAATAAACACATAACCACCATGGGAGCAGCTGGCATGGGAAGACCAATATGGTGATCCCAGGTTGCATCTGTTTCAAGAAAACAAAACAAAACAAAACAAAAAAAAAAAAAAAAAAGCTCATATTGACTGTAAAAATTTTTTTTTTTTTTTTTTTTTTGAGAGAGTTTCATTCTTGTTGCTAGAGTACGGTGGCACAACCTCGGCTCACTGCAACCTCCGCCTCCCAGGTTCGATTCTCCTGCAGGTGCCCGCCACTATGCCTAATTTTTCGTATTTGTTAGTAGATGGGGTTTCACCATGCTGGCCAGGCTAGGCTGGTCTCAAACTCCTGACCTCAAATGATCTGCCCGC